CCATGATAGAATGTGTTTCAAATGTGAAGAAATGGGACACATTGCCATACATTGTATTCAATAGTGTGAGTGGGTCACAGTGACTATATGATTTGAAAGAGAATCATATAAAAATAGAAAAATCATATTTAGAGAATAATAAATATTTTGATATATATAGTTTAATTAAAAATTTTGTGGATATATATAATAAAATAGATAATCATTATGGGAATGATGATTAATCCATGGGAGATTTTTAATAAAAACATAAATGAGATTCAGAGACCTTTAAATTCTGAAATGAATTTAGGCGTGAATATTAATGATATTAATGGTGATTCAAATATAATGAATTGAAAATGAAAGTAATCAGTGTTCGTGTTTTCGTGTCAATATAAAATTGAGTAAAGCATAATTAAAAGTGATAATATATTGTAATAAAAGTTTTAATAAAAATAACATCTGGGAAGAAAAGTATTATTTATTTTAAGCAGTATAGAAGAATATTTTAATTTAAGAATAAAATTGTTATCAATAAAATAAAAACATTGACTTTAATAAATTCATGAATAATACCATGTGGCATGGTATTAGAAAGTTCAATGAAATACAAACTTTTGTGTAGAATTTTTTTAAAAAAATGTATTTTTTTTAATTTAAAGAGACATTGTTGTGAAACAATGTAAAATTAAAAAATTTTTTTAAATATTATGTGATAAAGAAAAAACTTTTAAATGAAAGTCGGTGGACAATAAAAGATTTTAAACTTGGACCTAGTGAAGAATTATGTAAAATAAAAGAGTTTTAAAAAAGGATGGAATGTGATGTGATGATATTGTTTATAGTTTTAATAGTTATAATTATAAATTAAAATTTTTTTTTATCTATCGGCACATCTTCATATTTTTTTTTGTTTTGTAACATAAAAAATATGATTGTAGTGGCATTATATATATATATTGTAGTTTTGTATTTTTGCTATATTACATGTCTTAATATTTTTTTTTGTGGTTCATATTATTTTCTTAATGTATATAACGAAAATCTATATATGTAATTTTAATAGTGATAATTATAAATTATCTTTTTTATCCCTATTCGTATTCTTTTATTTTGTTTGTGGTCAATTATTTGTTTTATAATTGAACATTAAGAAAAAGAAAATAATTGTAAAGGATTGTTGAATCCAAATTTAGATGTATTATAAAATAAACAAAATATATTAATTATTATAATCCGCATGTTGAAAAAAGACAATTCAATAGTTAAAAGTCGATGATGTTCAAAGATAAGATTCGATAAATGACGAGGAAATAATCAATGTCCTTAAAGAACGATAATTATATGGTATCTGGGCTTTTGAAGGGTGGGCGTGTTGTAAATGTTGAATTAAAGAGAAAAATAAAAATGTTTATTTATTTTCAAGAGATGTCAATCAGATTATTATTCTTTTGAAATGATATATTTTTATTGTAAAAAGTAATATTTTTTTTCAGTATGTAATTTTTATATGAAATAAAGGAGATTTTATTAAGTGAATTGTATATTTATGAATTGGAGTTTGAATTATTTGATATCGAATTTTATGATTATACTATTGGAATTTATTAGATAAAAAATAAAGTGAAGTTATTGAAATAAAATTATTTGTAGTGTAAATTGAGATATATTTTACAAGGGTTACCCCAATCATGCTTTTTACAATAATAAAATGAATCACCTAGTAATTTTTTTAATTCATTTTATAATTGTGGCACTCAATCAGGCAAAAAAAAAGGAAAGAAATATATTATTTTTTGGGCCACCTAGTCTGTGGTACAAGCTGGAGCCTATATTTTATAGTCTACAGGACTCTAATATGAATGAAATAATACATTTTAATGATAATTTATTAAATAATATATTAGGACTGTGCCGATATTAAATATCGGAACAAAGCAGATACCTATAAAAAATCCAATTGAATATTTTTTTTGTTTGTGGTTATTATATGATTGTATAATATAATTAAGTAATATTTTATACATAATAATAAATTAATAAAAGAAATCAAAATTCAATTTATTAGAAATGTAAAAAAAAATCAAGTTATTTAAAAATATAAGAGTATCTAAAAATTTGATATTATTTTTTCTTATATTATCTGGAGCAAGAAAAGATTTCAGGGTTTCGAACCGTTTAGTATAACGGTTCGGTTCATTCCGGTTATTATTTTAAAATTTTATAAAGGTTTTGTTCCATTTCGGTTTTTTAAAAAAAATCATATCGGTTCGGTTCGGTTTATAATTTATAACGGTTCTTTTCGGTTTGTTCCGGTTTTTATAAATTTAATTTTAAAAAAAATTAATCATTAACCATGTATTTATTAATTTTAGAGAAAAATCTTTTTTTATAATTTCTTATTTAATTTATCCATGATAATCTAATAGATATTTTTATTAAATTTAGGAAATATAAATTAGACAAATTAGTTTTTTTTATTTCATAAATAAATAAGATAAAAACAAACATGCATAAATACAATAATGAATAAAATAATATGTATACTATACTATTTAGTTAAAAAGAGAATTCGAACGGATAACTAAAATATTTTCTAATATTTCAGGATTTAATTTAGTTCTCTGCTCAGAGAGTATAAACTTAAAGCTTGAAAATGCTCTTTCTACGGAGACCTGCTTAGCTGGAACTGCTAGCACAGTTATAACTAACTTATAAAGTTCTGGCATACTATTCTTTACATTTTCCCAATAATTCAAAAGATTAGTATCTTTTTCTAATCTCTCTATCTTATCAAATGACCGAATTATATATTCTATTTCTATACATTTATTATAATTTTCGATGCCCTGAGAATTATTCTTATTAAGACTTTCATGCGACTTTAATAAATCTTCAAAATCATCATTTAAATTATCCTTCGAATACGAACACGTAGGCATAGTATCAGGAATTTCAATATTCTGATTATTTAGATTTTGTATCAAGTTCCAAGTTTTACAAAGATGTTTTCTGGCGATCTCTCTTTCTTCAAAAGTTAAAAATACATTATATCTAGGGTCGAGATAAATAGCAGAGCAAAAAACTTCATTTTTAAAATTTATTTCTCGTGCTTTCATCGTAGAAACTAAAAGTCTGGCAAATGGAGTGTCTACTTTACTCGTTTGCATGAGACATTTGATCCCCGCAGCATAAAAATCGCCCATTGTCAATTGTTCACTTTGTAAATATTTTGTCAAAACATAAGCTGGATATAAAGCTTTTAATATGTCACTAATTATTTTCCATTCATTCTCTGATAAACATTTTTCGCGATCGCTTTGGAGCGATATTTCTTGGCAAAAGCTTTTTAACTCTAGTAGTCTCTCCAACATTAAATAGATAGAGTTCCATCTTGTGAAACAATCTATTAGTGGTTTTTTCAAATTTAATTTTGACCATTGTTGTCTGATTTCTTATTTTTTTGCAGATGTTTCTTGCTTTATTTATTATGACAATTTCATTTGAATTTTTAATGCAATCATTAATTTCTAATTGAAATGTATGTGAAGCACATCTAATACCTATTAATATGGATCTGGAATTTGATGCAAGATTAATATTTTCAATATTAAAAGGTTCTTTATTTTCATCATGAATTATATCATTATTATTTAAATAATCATTATCTATATCATTATTATTTAAATCATCATTAATTAAATAATCGTTAAGGTCATCATCTTCTTCATCGTGTAGTATTAATAGCTTAATTAACTTAATCATATTTGCTGCATTATCGGTGGTTATTGTGTAAATCTGCTCAATTTTTATTTCATATTCTTTTAGAACATCTAGAATAATTTTTTTAAGATATTCTGATGTGTGTCGTTCTTTAATCACTTTCATGCATAGAGTCCTTAATTTTATTTTTCCGTTATTTATAAATTGAATATTGATCCCCAATATGGACCTATCATATCTAGTTGCTATATCTAATTTTAACGAAATAAGTTTTTGATATACTTCCTTTTTTATATTTTCCGAAAAATCTAACGCCATTTTTTTAATATTATTGCGTATATTTTCCGAATTGATAGTTAAATTTCCACCCAATCCTATAATTATTGGATCTATAATATTTCGAAATGCTTTGTCGTCAATTGATTTTATTGGCCTACCGTGAACTGTTATTAGCTCGGTGCAGGAGCGGATTAAAGTTTCTTTATTTATATTGATTTGTATTGTAGTAGTGTTGGACTTAAAAGCGTCTTGGATTGTATTATACTGGTTTGCAGTTTTCGTTATTTGATTTTTTTAATAGTCAAATTTTCTTTCTTTTTTCTTAATAATTTGAATTCCCTATTGTGGAATCTTTCTATATGTCGTTCAAGATTTGCAGCATGGTGCCAGTTAAGACCTTACCACAATCTTCTATTTTACAAATAGATTGATATGATATCTAATTTAAAATAGGAACGTATCAGAAAGACTGGCAAACGGAAAGTTTATAGGGGACAGGGGTTCGGAACGAAAACGATAAGCTTTATCTTATCAATTTAAATTTTCAATTTCTTTTTCTTTTGTACCTAACAAGATTAATCGAATCTTTTTCTTTTTTAAAATATACTTTTATCACAAGGAGAAAAACAAACTTTATTAAGTAATTAATTATATCTCTAAAATAAATTTATTTTCTATTACTAAAGAAAAATTAATTAAACAAAAAAAAAATCTCAATGATATTCAATAGATAATATATTTCTATTATTTTCAAAAAAAATGAATCAAAGATAATAGTCTATTATTTTTTTTTCTACACTATTTATATTATATTAAAAAAAAATAAACATTATTTTTTCTAAAAAAAATAACATTGCAAAATAATATTATAAAAAAAAATAATAACTATTCCTATATAAATAAACGACGGCGAGACACTAATATATTACAGAGATAACTATACTACTTATAAATAAACAATATATGCATCGCGTCAACATTCCCAGATAGGACAGCTATCCCCTTCAAAAACCTTACCCACCCTCCAGAATCCAGTCGCGCTCGGCGTCTGATATGGAACACTCCAACCAGTCCATGAACTCCGGAGTCAGGTAAGTTGCCTCAAGCTCTTCCATGGTATATTCCGACTCCGGCGCCTGCACTCCCTCCTCCGCGCTGTTCCTCCAACGGCTTCCTGCGTCCCCTGGTTCCTCCACTGGCCACGGGGCCAGCTCGATCTCTTGCTGTTGACTTCTCACTCCCCGGCTCTCCCTCCGCAGCCCCCTCTGTGGACATCGACTGCGCAGATGCCCAATCTGGTGACATAAACAGCGTCTTTGCTCTCCCCCAACTGGCCTCATCGTGAGATTCGGAACTCTCATCTGTCCCCACCAACCCGGGACCTGTCGCTGTATCATTATCCAATACAATTCGACGTCTTCAAAAATCCAACCTCTGCTAACATTCATCCTGGACTGGCGCTCTACAGGTACTCACAATCTATATACTCAATATATATATATATACATTTAAACTTATACACCTATCCACCCTTCCCAATTTTTATCCCCTTTATTTTATAAATCAATAAGAATAATTTGATTCCCAGGCGCTATAGAAACAAATTTTGAACGAAACAATTTGCAGAAACAAATGCTAAAAAAAAACCCTTTTCCTTTTAATAAATCATACGATCTCCACGGCACTAAGAAAACAAATTTTAAAAAAAAATTCCCTTTTACTTAACAATTCATCAAAACAATTACCAACGTAATAATTCACCAAAACCATTAAACCAACGATTCTACCCCAAAAATTTTTCTTACAAATTAATTTACAGAAACAAATTGTGGAAACAATTTTAAAAAAAAACAAACTCTTCCTTTTCCTTTCTAATAAATTAAACGATTAAAACAAAATTTCTTTCACTTACTAAGTCACAGAAACAATTTATTCTACTGTTTATTTCTTAACTAACACATATACATTTTTCTTTTCTTTAATTAATAATCCCCTTCTTCCCTCATCTAATTAATTTTTCTTTTAATGAAAAAAAAATGTAAACCTCCATTTCCTTTACGAATCCACGAAAACTCCCAACCCAAAAAAAACTTTACCTTTTCTTTCTCTTTTCTCTTTTAATTTAAACTTAATAATAAAATTTTTTTATTTACCTTCACAATGAATGACGAATATAACCACAAGAATTTTAAACAGAATTTCTATCAATTAAGAAGTGTGAAACAAATTAGTTTTTCTTCCCCCTTTTATACTCACGATCTAAATTTAACTTGTTAACTTATTATTTTCAGATTTATGATCCCCCTTTTTTTAAAAAAAATTTTTCTCACCAACTAAATCTTGACATAATATTCTCCCAATTCCTAATTTTGATTTATTATCTTCTAAACTTATCCCTTTTCCAAACCTCAAACTTCTGCCAAATCATTACATATATATTTTTTTAAATTTAATTTTATCTCATTTTATGCGTTACCCAAACTTTAATTCTCCCTTTCTTTCCCCAAAAATTAGGATGATTTATTGCCTTTCTTTTTTTTTAACTTTTTATTTTGACATTCCTTTTAAATCGAGAAGTTAGCTTGTCAACATTTTTATTTTTCAAACATTCTTATTTTACTTAACTCTCCCTCCTACACCTGTCGCGCACATATCCAACTTATTTAACTAAACCTAATTTCGTAAAAACATTTTAACAAAGAGAGAGGCAATTATTACCAATTAAATATTAACTTTATTAAACACTCATTTGGGTTCCTATTAAGCTAAACCTTTACGAAATCACATCGGCATCAATTACAATAATTGCTCCTTATTAAGAATATACCCGAGGTATTTGGGTCAAAAAGGTGCCCAAAACGCCCCGATAAAATATTAACTCCGAGCGCCATCAATTTAATTATTGCATTTTGCATACATGGCTAAATGGTTCATTCCAGATATTCGGTCCCATTTTTCCCTTCCTGCACACATTTCAGAATAATCTCCCCATTCGGACTGTACAATTTTCTTTTATTTATTTAGGGGTAATCGCTGACATCCGGAAGGACCTACCCCACTAATAATCTATATTTTTTTCTCTTTTTCGTACGTAGGGATAATCGCTGACATTCGGAAAAACAATACCTACCCCACTAATTATATATATATTTTATTCTTCTACAATCGCTGACATTCGGAAAAAACAATACCTACCCCACTAATTATATATATATTTTATTCTTCTACGCAACTGATCCCGATGACGCACCCCCTCTCTCCCATCCGCGAATCCCACTCTAGTCACTTTGTTTCCCATGTTTTCCAAAATTACTCCCGCCTCCCATTTTCTATTACTGTTGAATATTCTGGCCCATACTGCCTGTCCTACTATGAACTCCGAGGCCTTCCCAGTTTCGGTTAGCTCCTGCCTCTGCTCTGTCGGTCTTAGCGAATCCAGCCAAATCCTGGTCCTCCTCCCTAAAAATTTCTCCGCCGGCGACGGCTCCTCCCCTTTTCTGCTATTATTATAATACGCCACAGCCACCCACATTTCCCCTCCGCCATCCTTTGATTTTTTCAACCAATTCTTGACTATCGCCACCATCCTCTCCGCCTGTCCATTCGAACTTGGATGGTACGGCGGTGCTTAAATGTGTTTGGCTCCCGTTTCCCCACAAAATATTTTGAACTGCTTACTGATAAAAGCTGGCCCCCCATCCGATACTATTGTGGTGGCCACTCCAAACTTTGCCCATAGATTTTTCAACATTTTTATCACCACTTGAGTCGTTAATCCTTTGACCTCCTCATATTCAACCCACTCGGAAAATGCATCTACTACCAACATGTACATCTTGTTATCGAAGTCGAAGAATTCTAAGTGAACACGCTCCCATGGCTGAGTTGCTCGTGGCCACACACTTTCCCTATCTTTTCTAGGCATCGGAGCCCAAGAATTACATCTGACACAGGCTCGACTGATATTTTTAATGTCTTTGTTCATTCCCGGCCACCATACATACTCCCGTCCCCACTGTTTCATTCTCTCCATTCCTTGATGTCCCGCATGAATCATTGCCATCACGGCCTCCCTTAATTTGAAGGGTATAACACTCCGACTCCCTCGCACTAGACATTCATCTATAATTGCTAATTCTTTCTCTATATATTTGAACGTTTTGTCCCCATCTTGCCACGTTTTCCGTCCCTTGAGACACGCTTTGACTCGTCTCAATTCCCGATCCTTTAACGTTTCCCTTTTAATTGCCTCCCATGTCACTGGCCCACCCCTGGATATCCCAGCCATCGTTCTAATTAGTATTCGTTCCTCCTTCTCATCTTGTCCCTCCTGTTCCTTCCCCTCACAATCCTCTCCAGCTCCACATCGAGATAAAATGTCCGGTAGGTAGTTCTCTTTCCCTCTGCGATACCTCACTTGTACGTCAAAGCTACCCACGAGCAATAGCCACCTCTGCAACCTGGGCGACAGCATCAGCTCCTTGTTATCTTTCTTGAATAGATGCACAAGCGGCTTATGATCGGTGTAAATAACAAACCTGCGCCCAATTAAATACTCCCGGCATTTCGTCAATCCAAAAATAACGGCGAGTGCTTCTTGCTCAATCACGGAATACCTAGTCTCTGCCTCTCTAAATATCCTTGAGAAAAATAACACCGGTCTTTCCAACCCATCAATACAATGTAATAAAGCCCCTCCTGCCCCTTTATTCGACGCGTCTACTGCCACAAATACCTCCAATTCGCTGTTGAAGCACACCAATATAGGTTCCTTTCCAATTCTGCATTTTAGCTCTTTAAAGGCCACCTCTTGTTCTTCTGTCCATTCAAACTTTTCTCCTTTCCTTAGCAATTGATACAACGGCGCGGCTATCTGAGCAAATCCTTCCACGAAACGATGGTAATAATTGACCATTCCCAAAAAGGCCTGCACTTCTGCTTTATTATTTGGTCTCTTCATATTGCTAATTCTCTTCATATTGCTATTCCCGTCATGTTCTTATCCAAAGGTCTCACCTCCTTTCCTGTAATTTTGTGTCCTAGATATGTCACTTCCATGACCTCCAACACGCTTTTCTCCACACTGGCCCGCAATCTTTTTTCTTTTATTCTCCGAATACCTCTTCCAATCTCTGTTCATGTTGTTCAGGAGTTCTTCCTGTCACTAGCACATCATCCATATAGTAGTAAACTCCTTCCAATCCTTGAAAAACCGCTGCCATAGTCCGCTGAAAAATAGGAGCTGATACACTAAGTCCAAAGGGCAATCTACAAAACGCAAATAACCCTTTTGGGGTCGTAATCGTTAATAACCTTCTCACCTCCGGTTTCACCCGCAACTGTAGGTACGCATTAGAGAAATCAATCTTTGAAAAATATTTACTTCCCTTTAAACTGGCCAATATTTCTTCAATACGCGGAAATGGATATTTGACCTCCACGACCCACGGATTTAGCGTGACCCGGAAATCTGCACATAGACGAAGTTTTCCATTAGCTTTCTTCACTGGTACCAACGGGGTCGCCCATTCACTGTACTCTATGGGACATACAATATCCTTCTTTACCCATTGATTCAATTCCCTTTCTACTTCTCTCCGCCACTCAAAAGGTATCCTTCGCAACGCACAATACTTTGGAACGTAATCATCCTTTAACTTAATATCTACTTCATAATCTTTGAGACAACCTAAATCTTCATTAAAAATCACTTGATAATTTTGTACTAATCTTCGGGCTCCTTCTTGCACTTTGGCTATTCCCAATTTTCTTCCATCCTCATCAATTAGCAACGCCTCTTCATCGTACAAAGTCTTAGCCTCCATCACCTCCCAAATTCCTTGGGTGTGAGCATTCATCACTTCCCGACTTCCTTGAGTCTTAGCCCGATCTTCTTGTGTCTTAGCATTAATCACTTCCTGATGTGAGTTTGAGCATGAATCACTTCCCGGCTTCCTTGGGGTTGAGCATTATTCACATCTCGATTTTCTAAGGTTTGAGCATTATTCACATCTCGATTTTTTTTATGCAGCCCTATATCCCTTTTTCCCTTATTTCCTTCCTCCTCCCTATCCTTAATATCATCATATTCCTTAACAGCTCCTACGTGCCCCGGGTAAATTTTCCTAGATTTATCTATATAATTGTTTTCTCTTATTTCTTCCCTAGAAGTCTTCCCCCCTATTTCTCTCTTATAATTCACCTCTCCTACTCTGCCCCTAACCTCACTTCCCTTTGTTGCGCCCCTTGAATTACTTCTCCTGGTTTCGCTCCTTAGATTGGCTTCTCTCGTTACGCTCCCTGAGTTATCTCCCTTGGTTTCGCTCCACGCATCTTCTCTTGCTACGCTCCTTAGGTTGTTCCCCTTTGTTTCTCTCCTTGGATCCTCTTTTGTTACGCTCCTTGGGTTGTTCCCCTTTGTTTCGCACCTTGAATGGTCTCCCCTGGTCTCAGGCTTCAATATAGTCT